ATGAGTAGCGTTGTCTGCCGCGCAATTCATCGGATGTCGCGGGAGTAAGGGAGACGCGGGGGTGGAGAAGGACGGTGGGGTTATTAATATTCAGAACGAGAAGCGGGAGTCGAGAGCAGTGCCGAGTGACAAATACCTAGAGCCCCGTCCCAACCCCGGCCACGGCTCAACTCTGTAATTAACGCTAATCTCCAGGCCGTTTCCGCGACACCGTACCACCCACTTCGTCTTCTCTCTCCTGTCTCTCTGTACTTACGGGGTGCAGAGGGTGGCTTTAAGCGGGAGCTCGCCAGTCGATTCTCAGAGAGACGGGAGAGGAGTGCCTCGATGTTTTCCTGCTAAAATATAAGAGAGCTTCGGCGTTTTCGCAATTTAATGTTTTTCTTCATTTGTGTTTTATCGCGCGCTACGTTCTCATTGAAAATTCAATGACAATTTGGAATAAAGTAATAAATTATTGCGACTCCACGGTTACCGACAAACCGCTAGAAAATGCTTACAGAGTAAAAAGGGGATATTTGAATCAGTTAAGGAGGTTGAAGCAGTTTGGTCAACTCTAGATTTTAGTTTGTAAAAAATATATATGATAGTATAGGATCTACCGCATGTGTGAGAATTATTTCAGATTTATTGACCATCCAGAAGCTGAGATATTAATTTCCAAAAATGCGTCGTTTTACATGAGGTTAGATGGAGAAAGCGTTGACGGCGATGATTGATCCTAATTTTCTTTAATATCTAGTCTATATAAACGCTCAAAAAACGTGCCTACGCGTACAGTAAATTAATGCGAACATTTAGAACGCACGAAAACACGTATTCACCATCTAATAACAAATATATTACAAGTTAAAGCGATTGAAATTAGACTGAAATAGCAGTTGATAGTTCGCGAGTAGGTAGATGTGGCAACGCAGCGTCGCTCGCGTTTTGGCTGTACCCGAATCCTGTCGGTATGTGCACATTTTTGTGGTTCTCTTCCGTGCTATGTCCACGATTTTTTTATTCTCTTTGGAAATAAAACCAAAAAATCATGAATCTAACGGAAGAAAACCAAAAAATTGTGAACATAACATAAAAAAGAACCCTAAAATCGTTGACATTACCACAAAATAGTAGACACAGCACGGAAGAGAACCAAAAACGTGCACATACCGACAGGATTTGGGTATAGCCAAAACGCGGGCACCTAACCTTATCCAAGGTGCGTTCGGGAAGACGCTATTAGTGCTATTTGCTTATTTTATCCTTGTTTTACACCTGATGAGCGATAAAGATAGAATGATGCAATAGCGCTAATAGCGCGCTTCCCGAACGCAGCCCCAGAATGACAGAAAATTCACCGGCATGTTTACGTTTAGCAACTGCCGTTACGTGGCTCCACGTGGTTCAACACAGAGGCGAGTACTGCTACCAACCCCATAAAAGTGAAACGTTGCCAAGTTTCAATCGTATTTAATATAATCGACGGAAAGTTATTAAAAAATCGATAGCTTATATAATTGTCAAGGGAGCTACCAGTAAGAATCATTATTTCATTCTATCAACGGCAAAACATATATTCATGCCATTTTTATATTGAAATAATTAGCAATACTACAAGTTTTCAAGTTGGCATTGGCAAAAAAGTGTTTCGTTTTTAGCTAATTAAAATATAAAGATGCATAATATGATACTTTTACTATACGTTTTATGCAATAGCAGCGTATGGAGAATAAAATGATACCTAATACAGATTTTTTAATGACCTAATAAAAAACTTTTTTCTAAACCGTCAATTGACTCAACTGGATCGCTTCAACCTCCTTAAAGAAAAAGAATTGGATAAATTGGATAAAAACTTTTCAAGATAAAGAGTTTTTCAGTTTTCAATGTAGAGAGGGATTGTTTGGCTTTTTGGCTTGAAAATTTTTTATCGGACTTTTTCTTGAACTGAGACTCGAATAGTCCGGCTTTTTATCTTATTGCATGTAGATCTCACAGTGTATAAAACCTCTGGAAAAGTCAGAAAAACTACTCCATTGTTTGCGCATTCCGCTTTCCAGTAAAGCGAAAAAAAGAATGCCGCATGGGCGCGGCATCTCTCGTCGCAGTTCTTGAATATTTTTGTGAACATTACTACCCCGCCGTTCATTCGTCATGGGCGGTACGCATTTAAATTTACAAAACTGTATACTCTGTATTACTAACTGCATATGTGAATGCGTATAAATTTCTTTCGCGGAGCTCATAGAACTTTAGGTGAAATTCTTTAACGTACGCGTGAACTTTAAGTTGTAAATTATGACGATAAAAAAAAAGAGAAGTTCATCAATGTTTTTTTATATTTATTTACAATAGTTATATACAGAAAAAAATTCAAGAAACCGGAAGAGCATATAGAAAATATAGAAATATATAATTAACGTTTCTTATTATGCAATCAAAAATTTTATAATTATAATTTATATAAGTAAGTAGATATTTCAAACATCGAAAGAAAAGTTCGTCGGTAGACGCTCATCATAAAATGTATTTTACTCCGCAGATACAAAAAGCATTTTCTCAAAGCCGTGCATCACGCACGACGAGCAAAACTCGGTTGAAACGCGGAAGCACTTGATTAAAGATACACACATTCAAGATCCTGCCAACGAGCTAGCGCACCTCTTATCACGAAAGATTACTCTGGACAGTGTACAACAATTTAGGAGGGAACGAGGGTTGGAAAACGAACGTGCCCAGGTACTTCTGGCCGTCGCGAGCTGCTCTAATCGAGTCCCCCCGATGTCCCGAAACCGCCGGTGTTTCTTCCGTCGAGCAACGACGGGAGCGAGAAAGAGACGCAGCCACGGGGGTGGGATAGCGAGCGAAGAGAAAAGGCGGCCAATCCAATTCCGCGCTCCAAGCCCGACCGTCGTGATGGCGGAGGGTGGCGAAAAAACGCAGCCACGGCCGGGGCCGGGGCCGGGGCCGGGCGCAAGGCGAGCGAGGTAGGTCTCCAGGCTTTTTTGCGTTTAATCAAGGATATTCGCGGTCGGCTGGCTCGCTATTTCAGTTCGCCGAGCGTTAACCGAGGCGCGCAACCACCACCGAGTATCATACCGCAGAAAGTGGATGAAGGAATCTCTCGTCCTTTGACCTCCCACGGACCGCTCCTGCCGCGCAATCATTCGTAACGGTCCTCATTGTAAATTACCGCGTATCCATGCCGTTGTTTTTGCTTCCTGTGCCTTATCGTGTCCATAATCTTCAGTTTCTTACGATAATTAACTAAACTAATATTCGGTGTATTATATAGACATATGGACAATTTCGAGAGAGAACAAAAGGCGAAATAAAATTTATAAAAGATGGCATTATATCATTACAAAAGAAGATCTCAGGATTATACATTTTTATTACCAAAATATTATTTCATAATAAAAATAATTCATGAAACATCGTGACGTTTTACTTCTACGTCTTATAACTAGCACTTCTCGAATGGGATATGGATCATCAATATGACGAGTATTATGTCTCGATATAATGAATCGGAATCGGATTAATCCTGATTAACTAGATAAAGACCTCGTGCTGTGAGGCCAAGGAATCATTTGATTCGTAGAATCTAATAAAATCGATTAGAGACGCGATACCCCTTTCACTGCCGTCATGATAGTCTAGACGTGATGTAGCGGGAGACGACAGCTCTAATTTCGTCCTTAAGCATCGAGTATCTCCGCTGTCACTCCTGTAAATTACTTCATCTCGATGACGCGTTGATCGTCGAAGACACCCTCTGAATTTCGAGGGGGTCACTCGATGGGGGTCACTGACATTCTTTCTACGAGAAAAGTACGGACTTCCATGATCGCGGTGACTACGCAATAGTCACCAATATTTGAAGATATGTGCATATGTGTTACAAAATTAGAAAATAATTATATCTTCTGGATGATAGAACTTGTAGATAAAAAAATCATCAAAAATTATAAAACAGATAAAATTTCACTTTTAGATTTAATCGATACATATTTAGACGTATTCAATATACTAAATATAATTTAAAACATATTAGATATACGTAATAAAATTAAAGATTATTACTGCTTATAAGACGAGCTCTATTAAGTGCCGCTCTATTATACAACCGGAAACACAAGTGGCGATAATACCCGGATCCCGGATTCCAGGAATATATCAATGCAATGGATAATGGTGCGCGCGTACACCAAAAGGGTTGCTCCTTGAGGGGTTAAAGCCCGTGATAATCATGGATGACGCTGGTCGAAACAATGCGCTCTCGGCATCCGTCGCTCCGGTACAGGGCGTGAGTTTCGTCTACGGATTGGGACTGGGAGAAAAGCGGGAGCGACGTCAGAGTCGGTGATGTATGGCTGGAGACGAGCTCGGGAAATACCACGTGCCCCGCCACCTAGTACACAGCAGCCCGTAAGGATTAGGGTGGCGACCTACTATATTCTCCAACGCACCGTTTCATGATGCAATTGGATTCCTTCGGCCATCATCACCCTCTCTTTCACTCACCCTTCAATCCATCGTCACCGACTTTAACCACGGGATCATTACTCTCATTTACGGAATTTTTCTATTGAGTATTTTTTGCAAAAAGAACATAACTAATTTGGGAGTTCTCGATACAATATGCAATGTTTATATATGATTAATAATCCAAACAAAGGCTAATACATAAACAATCATTGATGATAGTTTAATAATAAAAATCTGGAACCTAATTTTAATTTATAATGAAAAGGATATATTTAACGCGATAATATATAATAATTAATAAAATAATAAAATTTGTATAAAATAACATGTTTCATTATAGCTTATGGACACTTGAAAGAAATGTATATCTCTCAAGCAATGTCTTCAAAAAGAAGATAAGCTTTCAGCATTGCAAACAGGAATACAGTATCATTTATCGGTAACACTGACTACTTTCTTATCCACTTGATTTGAGAACGTCCTATCTCTTCATTTCACCATTTCACCGTAGCGCTGCAAAGAAATGCATCAAAATCAGTCCGAGTTAGAGGTTAGAGGTCAGCTTTGTGCAGCATCGAAAAACATGATAAATTCTGTGATACGTATCTATCTATTGTTATTTTATTTATTATTATACAATGAAGCAAAATCATATCACGCTGTCGTTGTTATTCACGGGGTTCTCACTGGAAGTGACAGTATGGAACTCATTAGCAACAGAATTCAGGAGGTAGGCAAGATGGCATTGATTGCAGCGGAACAAAGGGACTTACAGATATCCCAACATCATTGTTTCATTGCACAAATGTGGTGGATTGATTTTTACATTTTTTTTAACTTTATTTTGACATTTTCTCGCATTAATTATTTTGCCCCTCTATTGATAATGTAACATGTTCTGTAGTATTATCATTTGTAAATAAAGAGATTTTATTGTAGCATGACCATTTTCATTGTTCAAATATGTTTTATGCAAACACAATAACACAATTATTTTAACGTTGGCTAAAATAAGCTTCTATAAAAAAAAATATGTGTCACTCATGATATGTATGTATGTGTGCAAATTAGTTAACATTTGATTTTTATATTAATATATACATGTATGTTCACAGATGCATCCTGGAACTCCAGTCTACAACACTGTTAGATTTGCAGGTTGGAGTAGCCTGGAACCAATGTGGGAACAGGTAGAGGAAATGGGCATGGATGTACTCTCCATAGGTGCTGCATTTCCTGAAGGAATTAATTTAATTGGTTATAGTCAGGGTGGTTTATTAGCTAGAGCCATATTGCAAAGATTTCCCATGCATAATGTCAGAAACTTTATTTCTCTGAGCTCGCCGCAAGCGGGGCAATATGGAAGTACGTAAAATACTGTGATATCCAAATAGAGAAGGAGGCAACGATTTCACTCTAATCGTAAAATCCTGGTTTCAGCACGTTTCCTGCATTTAATTTTCCCAGATTTAGTTTGTGAAACTGCTTATGAACTCTTTTATTCACGACTTGGACAACACACCAGTATTGGAAATTACTGGAATGATCCTCATCACCAAGTTACTATCCTAACTTTAACCAATAGGCCTGTTAGAATAAAACAAATTATATGATGATATAAAATATTTTCTTTCATTCTAACTTATTGCACTAGTTAAGAAGTGCAAAGAAAACGAACAGGCCTAATTTTACATAGTCTACATTCTGATATACATTAAATTTCCTTTTTTTTTTCAGGAATTGTATTATAAATACAGCAAGTTTCTGCCATATGTGAACAATGAAGTCGACGTTTTCAACAATTCCGACTATAAAACAGGTTTAACCAAGCTGAAACGTATGATACTCATTGGAGGACCAGACGATGGCGTTATCACTCCATGGCAAAGCAGTCACTTTGGATATTACGACAATAACAACACTGTGATAGACATGCGTGAAAGATCTATTTATAAAGATGATGTGATTGGTTTGAAAACGTTAGATAAACGGAGCAAGCTAAAGATCATCACAGTGCCCGGAATTCCTCATACCGAATGGCATAAAAATATCTCTATAGTAGATCAATTTCTGTTACCATATTTAGATTAAACTTAATGAAATATAAGTAAAATAAAATCGAAACTTGCCAAATATAATAGAGAATCTAAGAAATATATTATTTGAGTTGACAAATTTTTTTCTATGTGATATTGCATGACTAATTTTATACGAAACTTTACTCATGTGGGCGAGTTACTTTCCATGTATAAATGTATAACAATCTAAGTAATTATAATTTTATCTTTTTTAAATTTGCCCCTCGCATTTTATATTAAAGGAGATTGTAAATTTATGAGACACATCTGCATGACGTATCTTTGTGCAAGCGCATGTATAACAGTAAGATTTTGTACATATATA